TTTCACTTTTGAAATGGGCTGTTCTAGACGTTCGAGAGCTGCTGATGAGACATGGTGAGAGAGAGAATGTAAATTGCATTAGTCTTTCTGATTGAACTTTTGCTAAACTTCATTAAACTCTATTGAAGCTACTTTTAAACATAGTAAATCCTCAGTTCCTCTTTCAGAGTTTCATACGTTCTGTTCTGTGCATCTGCCTGCACAGTATGTCTGTCAGCGAGATTACACAAATAGTTCAGGCAAGCGAGACATGGTGGAAAGGTGGATCTGATCAAAGGAAAAATCCACGAGTGACTCACTTTAAAAACATGAGTTATGGCAATGGCATCAGTGAAGGATTTGCTTTACTAGAGCGCTTTTAGGACCCTTTTTCTTTCATCATATTTAATAACTACAACTCTCAAAGTATACAGTGTGGCCATATGGAAAGGTCTTGATAAGACTGAACCCATGGAGTGACATTAATGGATTATCCTTGCATTATCTGATTGCAGATCACTGTTGCATTTCATCTGATAGGCAAGCCTCTATAGGCTACAGCAGTAATTTTTTTTTCTCTTTTGTTATTTGTCAAAAGTGGAAAATTGAAGACACATTTTTCCACTGAACGAGTGCCCAGACTGGAAGTCTTGATTCGAAGTGAACGCAGTCTGTCAGGTGTCCCAAATTCTGACATCCTCTGTTTGTCGTGTCTCCCTGCCATGATTTTTCATCACTAGAAAATGTAAGACGTATAGTCAGTGTCATGTTTCTAGGGCTGACAACATCAGGCTGTCGTCAGGTGGCTTCCCAGTCGATCCAACAATCTGATCTGGATAAATATCTCAGCTCCCACATAGATAGCTGTGCACTTTATTCAGGCCTTAGTAGGCCTCATGCCTGTGGGGTTTGCAGTCCTTTCTCTGAACATGTGCTCTGCAATGTATTGACAAACTCCTGCAAAACTCTTGTAACACTGGTTTTAATTGCCGTAAGCCTACAAGTCAGTGTTTTCTGACATTCTTTCATTGTTAAATAAGACAGAGTCCAGCTTCAATGTCTGGCTTTTTATCTAACCATTTTCAAATCTGCTTTATTTTGTGTTTGAATCTGATTGACTCTTTTTCCTCTTTAGGAATCACAAACAAGTCTTAAGAAATGATTCTTGGCACAAGTTACAAGGTGACTCACGAGCTCCCTGAGGTATTAATGTATTTCGGGGGAGGATATTTGTATTTAGATGAGCTACTTGTAACACAATGCAGATTACTTCCACCGGTACACAAACCTCATTTACATATGTGTAGAGAGAGAATCAAACAGATCCACATCCTTGCCAGATGTCATCGGTATGTGTAAGAAGACAAAAATTTGGTTCACGATCCTTTCCTTAATGCGAGTTGTTCATCATCATTATAGTTCTGGTATTGATCTGCAGAGTGATGAAGAAAGGGAGATATGGGGGAAAAGAATAAGGGAGGATAAGAAGGAAAGATTTTTTTGGGGGGGGGGGTTGGAAGTTGAGTTGAAAAAGAAGAGGAACCAAAAACTTTCCAACAATACTCAGACTCTGTTTTGATTTAGATAAATATGAAGTCAAACAGGAACTGTTTAATGGGTCTGTGCCTCTTTTTTTCCCCTTTGTTCATATGCAGTTTGTGTGGAGTGATGTGTTGTGTATGTGGTGAATGCTGTTACATACACTCTTTATGCTTATGTGTACTCTCCCTTTTGTCTTGGTATACAATTCTTGAGAAGAATGTCTTCGTATCCTGTATGGATTTATTTTTCAACCCTGGGAGGTGAAGGCATATTTGTCAGAGTGGGTGTGAAGACTGAATTTATTGCCTCGTGGTTTCCGCCCAGGATGAGGACTGCGGGGATGATGGGGCACAGGGAAGGCCCGCCCTCCCAGTGGAGAAGTTTGCATGCAGCAAGTAAGAGGAAGGAGATCCCTATGTCGCTGTGGGGAAAAATTGAGCCAATGAAGACAAAGTCTCATGTTGTTTTAGTTTTGTTTTTAAGGTGCAAAAATTATTATTTTTACCCCCTGGAACCACATGTTGCTGCTTGGATATATCTGGCTAAACTTTCCTTACCCGCCAAATTGGACCTTCTGCAAAGAAGCCGTTGCAAACTTGGACAAACAGTCCTTCTTGGAACAGCGCCAAGCAGCAAAACAATAGGATCTGTTGATAATTTTCCCCAAGAGGTTTTAGATTATTTTTGGAGTCAAAGCGCTTTCTTGTCAGTTCCCGTATGTATGGAGGGATTTGTCAAAAACGGACCATGTAGAGTGATAGTGATAATGGAAAGTGGTGGGAGTGGACACAAAATACAAAATAGCTACAGGGAAGAGGATTCAAGAGTGAGTTCGAACTATACGTTGTGTATTAAGACGGCTGTAGCCAAGCTGATTGTACTTTTTGGTTAACAAAGTCCATTTGTAAAGACTCGAGATAAGCATGTTTTGGAACCAGAAACAAAGAACTCAAAGGGCATTGTTACTCTAAAACACCTTGTTTTCGCCTCCTTTTGGCTGATGCTGATCATAATTTAGAAAATGCTGTATCCAATAAGAAACCAGTGACTGAGACTGCGAACCTCTCAGAAAAATGTTTACCGAGGTCATTGCTAATGCCCTCTGCTGGCCATTGGAAAGAGTGCAACGCTAATGCACTTCCATCTTTTAGATACAGTCTGTTTACAATCTCCAAATACGCTGGCTGTCCACACTCATTCTCAACTACGGTGCTCTTTTGCTTTATAAGCCTCAGATACAGATACAGCTGTATTTCATGAAAGAGGATGCTGGCCATTAATAGAACGATTGGGAATTTGTTCCTCATATTCAAGTTTACTCAAGCTCAGCACAAAACCCTAAACCACTCCTCAAACGTAAGTTACTCTGGATAAATGCCAACGCCAAATAGTTGCAACTCAAACAGTGACAACAGTAATGGATGACCCTCTCTTTCTGAATCCAAGTGGTCTGCTCAGTTAATTCCACAAAGCCCATTACAAATATTCACTTTAATCATTGACCAAAATGACTCTGCAAGCCGACGGAATGATCTTTTTAACCTATAGACGATAAGTGTCCTCCTCCAACACGCTGACGCATGAAGTCAGTGTGTCGTTCTTGGCTGCTGTTTATTATTTCATTTAAGGTCATACAGTCTTGAAAAGCTAATCCGTCCTAAATTATCTGCTAAATTAGTTTTATGATTCTAATCAAGCAAAGAATTATCTTTTTTTTTTTATTATTATATCTAAAGTTAGTGATTTCATAGCCTCAGTTAAAATAATTTCTCATTAGGATTCGAGAGGCATTTCAAAGACTGGCACAGCTCCACACAGTTATTGTTTTTGGTTGGATGACACTGGAAGAAGGGAGTTTGGAAAAGGGTCTCGAGCAGGAGTCAGACAGGTCACTTGGATACAAAGCTACCTCCTGCTTTGAACAGAGGACAGGAAAAAAGGAAGTGTGCACTGTGCAGTTATTGAAAACGATTCAAAATACACATTCATCTATCGCAGATTTTGTTTCTGGTTTTACTACCTCTTCTTAAGTCCCACAGCAGTTTGTAGGTGGTGCAGTAGGTTACTTATTGCTCACCTGGAGAATAAACCAAGGGAAAATAAGAGTATAGTGCATGTCAAGCAGCAGATAGAGGGAGCACCTTTGTGCTCTAACTTTAAGAGTAGGGATGGGTATCGAAAACCGGTTCTTGTTGAGAACTGGTTCCCACTGTTTCAATTCCTTGGAATTGTTTGCCATTTTTGCAAACGATTCCCTTATCGATTCCAGTCACTCCGAATGATGTCACCACGTTGCAGAACGCCATTTAGCTGGCAGGAAACATGGCGGCTCAAACGCTCAAAAGTTTGATTGTACTTTACGAGAACAGGGCAACGTGCAATACTTGCAAAGTAGATATTTAATTAAGGGAGGAAACACTACGAATATGCAAAAGCATTTGCTCACAAAACACATGATGACTTTAAATGAATGTCATGTTTTTAATTCCGCTCCGGACTCGTGAATCCCCACCCAGCGGCAGCGGTAACGTTTGCACGTCCTCTCCCGTTAATGCGGCAGGTAAATAATCAACTAACAGTGCATATTATGTTAGCGCGATCTGCCTTATTACAAACCCTGCCATTACTGTGCATTTAGGTGACCATGATGAGAGAGACAGACAGAGTCTGGCTGGCTCAGATGCTGGCAGTTCTCGCTGCAGTCTACCGGTAGCGTCTCCTTTCAGGCCACACTCAGAAAAATTATGGTTATTAAATGGTTCTTCAGATGTCTTCATGGTTCTTTAAAGAACCATCATACGTCAAAGAACCTTTTTATTTTGTGGATGGTTCTTCAGCTATTACAAATGGTTCTTTAAAGAACAAAAGGTTCTTCATCCTTAGCAATCTAAGTTTGATGGTGTAAATGGCATAAATATTTATTCACTATAATGAGGCTGTGAATTATACTGTGTGTTTTCTTTGTGTGCATGTGTGTGCAAAGGGGGAGGGCGGGATACCTGGCAATTACCCTTTAAGAGAAGATGGTAGGAAACTGAATATTCAAATAAAAGTTAGAAATATTTGTAAACAGTAGACACAATACACACATTCAAGTACTGTACTTTAGTTTTAAATTTTAATAAAGCATTACTATTTTCTACTCCAAGGCATTACTTTTGAGATTATTATATATTTTTGAAAATATAGCATAATGATAATACTAATTATTGTAAACTTTACAAACCACCCAGCAGTATGTAAAGTCAAATTATAAAATACAAGTAAATAACAATTGCAGAACAGAATGTCAGTGTAATGGACACAGACTTCGTTTTGACAAAGCGCACTGCTTAGGTAAATGATCTGAGTAGTTGTTCATCACTGAGCAATTTGTTGATATGTGTTTCGAGCCAAATAAATGACAGGGAGAGAGAGTGACGTCAGAACACGTCATACTATAACCTCCCGGGAGCGGACGGAGGGGGTCAGTCGTTGGGATGCGCATGCGCAGACAGAGTGTGCTAGCGGCGGGCCTTGACCTTTCGGGAAAAAAACTCACGGACGGTGACAGCGAAACGGATAACAGTCTTCAGTACCTGCTGGACTTTGAAGCTGTGGATTCTGGGACTGTTAGAAAAGGTAAAACATTTCCATTAAAACCTTATTACTGTTTTGTTTTTGTTACTCGTCATTGTAGCTTGCTGTTAATGTTGTGCTAACAGTAGTGATTAGCTAGATACGTTAGCCGTTGACGTCAGCGCAATTTAGTATCCAACTGTTTTCCTAACAAAACCACTGTTATAATTAAGTGAAGGTGCTCCCAGCTAATTTGAACCTTTGGCTTCTAAAATATGTGGTTCAATTGCGTGCTGCGTACATAACCTAATGTCAGCTAGACCGAAATTAAAATTTAATATATTGTTAAAGTCACTAAAATGGCGCCTGAAGCCTGTTGTGACGTGAGCTCTGTGTCTGCTCTAGAAACTCTGAAATTCTGTAGATCTGAGCCGTACATTAAATACTCACATGAACCTCTACTTTGAATTCTGTATGAGCTGTATAAAATGCAGCTATGCATAAGTGTTTTGAATGAATAATTAGATTAGATAACTCTTTATTGTCTAATCGAATTATATAGAAATGAATAGAAATGTGACATGAGAAGGTGTGTCTTTGACTGTTCCTGCATAACTTAGTTTCGAACTAGTTGACAAGTTATGCGCCGGTCATTTGATGTTTCCAAGATAGATGTTCTTTTGTAATATAGTTAATTTTTTGTATATTTCATTTATCCACCATCATACATACAAGCTAAGAAGAGGTCGTTATACTAACAAGAGGTATCAACGCTGGGCCAAAGTTCAGCACATGGTTAAAGTTTGTAATCCAGCCAGGGTGTAAATATCACTCAGCAGCCAGAGCTGAAGCAGGTAGCATCAACACATAAATCTACTCTACCCGGCTTAAATCACAAGAGCACCTCTGACCAAAAGCTGTAGATTTTTCTTGTTTGCACAAATTAATCCAGATTCACATTAATTGTGTTCACAGCGCCAACAAAATGAGGAAGAGGAGGGGGAGAAACACAATTAGGTTGAATTACAATTGGATGGAAGGCGAGGACAAGGAGAAGGAAGCTTAGGATGAGGAGGAAGAGAAGCAGCAGGAGCATCTTTAGGGATCCCTATGATGTCATTGAGGTTTGTTTCATTAATATGGTCCTCTCACAAAGAAAGATGACTTGTTTTAGTTCACGTACTTCCTGTATTAAATAGTGATGTGCAAAATGTTGTGAAAAACCATAGAGCAGGCACGTATAGTGCATCTGCAGGTAAATGAACATCAAATCTCTAAGACAGACTGAAATCTGTATATTTATCACCCTTATGATAAAACCCACGTCAGCCATTGGTTTATGGACTTTGTATTTTTTAGCCTCAGCATCTGCTTTATTGCTGTTGCTATGTTGGGACCATATTAGGATGAGGGATCAGAATCTGGAGTCATGCACACTATTGTTTCATTTAGTGTGTATCCATAAGATTCGTACAGCAGATCCAAGTTGTGCCTTGAAAACAGGAAAGTCGTCTGCATAGAGGAGAACTGTAATAGCAGGCTTGTACAAAGTGAGGCTTTGTGCACTCGTTTTACTTCTGTCACCCTGTTTTGATGCAGAATTCATTTGAAATCAGGCAAGAACTGGACTTATTTTTATAATGTGTTCTTGTGAATTGATTGTGTATCGCATATGTTTGATTTGACTTTCTGCAAGACAACAGTCGTCCACTGGCCAAAAAAGTTTTCCAAATACCTCCACGTGATCTAGCCTGGATTTAGAAAAGAATAGCAAAAAATCTGCACCTCCTGCTTCAGATGCAATTTGTGTTTCTGTGTTCAGAGGCAGCGGCGAGAGGGGAGACCTCGGCTCATCCAGCTGGAGAGCCTGACCAGGAGGAGTCGAACATTAACTCAGCTCTTCCAGGGCACCCTGCAGACTCGGCTGCTGGCATCGGCGAGGGATGACGTGAACGCCAAACTGGAGTCCATCACAGGTCAACTGCAGGTATGCGAGTCAGACCTTCTGAGGAGGGTTTCACTTTTCTCTCTTCTTTATAATTGACTCTTTTCTCTCTCTTTCAGCTCCTTGTCTCAGAGTGGGAGGGATTTGAAGCACAAAGGGAGGAGCTTGTCGTTTGGTTGGCTGATATGGATGTCCGCCTGAGTGAGGTTGACCAGCTGACAGGAAACACCAGTGAAAAACTGAAACAACTGCAGGTGTGGGCTTGTTTTGATATGACATATGTTTGATATGAAACATACGTCAGAGACATTGTCCTAAACTGGACTAACAAAGGACCATGAGTACAACATGAAACGTACATTACATGGTGTAATGCTAAAGTTCATTGATCATTTAATCATAAACTTGTTGAAATATTTTTACTGAACATGCAAACATCTGCTGATGAAAATGTGTTGATTTATTGGTCTGTTATGAAGCTATTGCTATTTCTAATGTGTTTTATCACTTTCTGATGTTTTATTAATTAAACAATACATGTATTATTTGTTGTGTTATCTGTAGATATAGTATTTATATATATATTTATTTATAGTATAGCAAATATATTTAATTATTACTGTTTAAAACACTAATATGTGACATGTATTAGTAGTGATGTTGTGCTGAGGGTTAAAATGCCTTTTTGTCTTTTGGTATACTACAAAATGACAATAAACCATTAATATATGTCTATGCTGTGCTCGTATTTATTTTACCCTACTCAAATTCAATTTATGATGCATTTTATTTTGAAAGATTTAAAATGGTTTTTTAAAGAACCACTCAAAAAGGTTCTTTAAAATGGTTCTTTTAAAGAACCATTTGAAGGATCTTTTTAAAATGGTTCTTTAAAGAACCATTTTTAAAAAGGTTCTTTGAAAAACCATTAAAGGTGCCCCAAAGAACCATTTCTTGATGGTTCTTTGGGGCACCTTTAAAGGTTCTTCAATGAACCACTGAAAGAAATGGTTCTTCAAAGAACCATTGTTTGAAAGGTTCTTTGTGGCACCAAAAAAGGTTCTTCTATGGCATCAGTCTAAAGAACCACTTTTGGTTCCAGTTGGCACCTTTATTTTTCTGAGTGCAGGATAGACGAATGTCACCGAGCAGTGTCTAAGTTTGTGGTAAAAGGTTTGCACCCATTTGCCACAGCAGAGGCCCCGATTTTCGGTAAGTGAATGTGTTTAATTGTAGGCAGGGACATTACTGGATATTCTTGTGTAATTGCTACAGAATAATTTATGTTATACTTTGTTATTGCTACAGAAGAATATTTATTTTACAATTTTACATTTACAATTTTTTTTCCTGGGGACCCTGTGACACCCCATTTAAGAGCCATAGGCTGTGGATCTCTTAAGATCTCACTGTTGGGTTTGTAAGGCCATGCTACTCCTAAATTTCTATCTTGTTCAAAGAGAAGATATAAAACAAAGTTCTAAGCTAATCGACCTTAGTGTTCTCCTTTTTTAAAAATAAGAATTGATAAGAGAATCGAATCGTTAAACAGAATCGAAAATGGAATCGGAATCGTGAAAATCTTATCAATACCCATCCCTATTTAAGAGTGATCTCACTAAATCAGTTGAGATTTTCTAATCCAGTTTAAAAGAACCAGATAGCCTGTAGGTGAGAAGGTTTGATAAATGCACATGATGTGAAAACAAACAACACTATAGATTTTTTTAGACTGCAGTTCTGAAGCAGTTTGAGGTTTTTTTTGTTTAATAATTTCTATTTTCATTATGATGAGATCGTTACAACAGTTGTGTCTTTCCACCCTCACTGTGTCACAGACAAACACAGCTTAATTAAAACCAACAGACTGCAACACAGGGAAATGATTACTGTTAAATGTTAAATCCAAATCACACAATCAACAGACTAAATATTTTTAAATACAAACAGCTCACAAGGCTATTTTTAATCTGCTTTGCTGCAGACTTCCAGGGACATACATTAGTACTTTAATTAGCCATTGCTGATGAAGATTGCTGCTAAAAGTTTGAAGGTACTAAGACATTTTGCACTGCTCTGTGAAACTGTAATTTAAAAAGAATGAGGGATGCATAGGTCACATCTGCGCTGGAAATCTCCACTGGCGAGTGCCTGAATACGTTCTGTTATTACTGCAAACAAACACACACACAATCAGTTGTGAATACTGCATTCTGTCTTGGCAACAGGCAGCTTCAGAAGGGGCCATGTGTTGCCATATTATTTGGAGCGTTTTCCTGTTTCTGGAATAACCGCTTCCAGTTGAGACTCTGGGCAGAGCAAGCTGCACACCGAACACATTCCACTGCCAAGGAAAACACCTCTCTGGTGACCAAAGCGCGGCCCCTCCCTTTGTCCCCTTCCAGCCAAGGTGTTTCACAGACAGATAGAAGTCAGCCGGTCCGCTGGGGAGTGCAACATATCCTCACGCTGCTTTTCCTATAAAACAGGATTCCTGTGTTAATCCTGTGAGCCCTGGCAGATGGATTAATACATTTACAGCTAGAAATTGTAAAACCATCGCTGTTTCATGTTGTATGTGTGTGTCATCAAGACACAAAACCACATTAAAATTGGAGACAGATGACTTATTTATGTATGTTTGAATGTTTGTCTAAGTGTTCATTTTGTTGATTTCCATAGAGCCTTTGCTTAGAAACCAAAAGTGTGCTCCATCGATCGCACCAGTGAAGGGTCAGGTCGTTTCTCAACGAGTCACAGAGTTCCTGTGAATATTATCCAAATTCTGGATTTACTTCAGCAGAACCTTGTTCATCTCTTATGCAACCACTGTGCTATAAGAAAACCCATTTTCGTTTTTGTAGTCAAGCCATGCTGTATATCTTTGTGTGCATGTATACGTATGTATGTATGTGTGCATGTGTGCTACACCACTGCCATTAGGCTGGAAGGAAACACTTTTCTCTCTGAGTGTATTTTGAGGATTAAGATAAACAGACTTTAACAAGGTGCCATTATCGCTTGCACACACTCCCCTCCTCTCACACACTCATATAAAGGTTCTCCATGTAGGTTGTTAGTCGACCAGAAAACTGTTGATGAATTTGTTTCTGTTATTGTTGTGTTGCTTTTCCTTCTTATAATTACCCCCCCCCCCCACACACACACACACACACACACACACACACACACACACACACACACACACACGCACGCACACCCCGGGATTTCACTGCAGTTATACCCATCCTGCCTGATAATTACCACCGTCAAAACTGCTAAATTTAAAAATCACAAAAAAGTGCTGTCCTCGCATGTAAATACGCCAGCCACCTGTACCCTCAGCTAACTTTAGGTGCCAATTACACGTGACTTAAATCCAGAGATAAACGCTGCCAACACTGAAGAGAGCGAAATTGCAGCAAATATGAAAATGCCCCCCAATCTAATTATCATTAAGGAAGGTTTTGGGGGGTTGGTGGTTAATTGAGGTCAGTCTCGTGGCCGCTCAGTTATGTGTGAGCTGCCGTAATTACCTTTTCCGCAGCTGCCCGCGTGTCCGTCGCGTTCAATTGACCTCCCGATCAGAGCAGGTAGAAAAGGAGAGGCAGAGAATGAGGGGAGAGGTCGTTTCACACTTGAAGAGGCTGTTAGTGTTGACGCCCTCGGCCGGCAATTACACACAATCAGCGGGAGAGCTGCAGACCTGCTCCTCTGTACAATGGAGCCCCGCGCGCGGTCGAACCTAGGGGTGAGGCCCGCGAGCCGCTCAAGTGCGTGCAGCTGTGCGCGCTCCAGAGAGAAAAGCCGACTTCCCCTGCAATTAGCTCCTCGTTTCAGTTTTTAACAACGAAAAACTGGTTTATTATCATCTCCTCTGGCAGTCGTTTCGGTTAAAAAGAAGAAGAAGAAGAAGAAGAAGAAGAAAGGAAAAAAAATTGGCGTCCATTTTTTGTGTGTGGGGGTTATTATTTATTGGTGTCTGAAGTGGCTCTGAGAAGTTATTTTCTGCTAATTGTCGGGCTTATCTTGCTTTGACAGATTTAACCGAGACTTAAATGGCACTTCAACGGTGCTGCCTCGCACTCAGTGCGACCTGCGGTGTGATAATGCTTGCTGTTAGGTTTTTGATTTAAACGTTTTAAGCGAGTTCAACCAAAAATGCTTCTTGCTGTGCGCCTTTATATGATTAAATCTGTACTATTAGAGTGTAGGTCAAAAGAATGGTTAAATGGTTCACTTTTATCTGGAATAAAAAGAAGAATAAAAAGATACAAATTCTAATAATTTCCCTTTGGATCTTTCCACCAGATGACCAGGAGCATGAGTGGATTGTGCGGACTTGTCGGAAGGCTTGGGATGAGGTTTGTGGCGCTGAGCCGGAAAAATCAGCTGCAGCCAGATGTGAGGAGAGCAGCAATGTTAACTTTTAGCATATTATTTATTAAAACCGAGCTATAGGGAATTTCTGTCTTGTATTACATTTTGCATTAATGACTGAAAAGTAAATGATCAAGTCCATGCTTTTAAATCATCTCGTTTTATTTCCCCCCCACCCACATTGCTGCTGTGGCCTATGAATTCTGGGAGGTGCAACAGCCGCCTTTCAGTGCATTCATCTTAATTTCCATAATACTGTATGCATTACAGAGAGGGAGCTAGAGGAATGGAAAGAATCTGGGAAATACATTTACAATCAGTTTACAGGCAGCACAGAATACATCCAGTTTTATTACGTGCTTTGATTGCCATACTGTATTATTTCAGATCTACATCTCACACCCAGAAGAATTAGGACAGGCAATCAGTTTCCAACTGGGTTAAACAGTCTTTATACATGCTGCCCAAACAACTCTGTTATTCTAACTTTATCCAACAACACATTTCCCATCCCTGTAATAAGAATTGACTTATTTACAGTGAATTAATGAGGTGCAAAACACCACAGATTGCTGGTGTAACACAAATGTGCCATTCATGTGTGAGGGTTGGTTTTGAGGGGCTTTGGTGCTTTTTTTGCAGGGGTTTTTTCATGCCTAAATGAAAGATTTTAGCAGGCATTCAAAAGTGAGTGTATTAAACTACAATCTGAGGTAATTTGCCAAAGATAGGAAATTAGCAGGTAACATTGACAAGGCTTTGATCTGCTGGGCGAGCGTCAGGCACTCATTAAATTACTCTTCAACATATCGCCATAAACTCCCATCAGCAGATCATCTTTTAAAAAAATATCAAATAAAATTAATAATGAAAGAACACCCTTGAGAGCAGGAGAAATTTCCCATAATGCACTCTTTGTCTTGCACAAAAATGCAGACCCAGCACACACACACACACACACACACACACACACACACACACACACACACACACACGAGGATGTACACTGTTAACCACTAATCTAAGCACAAATGCTAAAGTAAACACACAAGAAGTGAAGTTACAGCAAAACACAATGCCTGACTTTAAAAAATACACATGGAACACAGAGTTACTTTATATTTATGGATTTTATTTGTGTATTTACCATTTGAAACTTCATTCCATCTGAGCCCGATTTAATTGTCTTACACACTTGTCTGTGCTTCGCAGTTGACATGTTTTGGAAAATCAAACGTGAATAATTGCTTTGTTAGTTTATCCTCAGAAATGATCCAAAGCCACCAAAAAAATATCACATTCTATTTTATTGCATTTTATTACACAAAACATTTATGATGCACAGTCTATCAAATAAACTTTTGTTTCATTTCATGTTTTTTTTAAACAAAACAAACAAACAAAAAAAAACATTTCAAATGGGGGAAAAAGTGCTTTACAGGGATTTACCATCTCAATAAATACAAGGACATTGAGGTCTTGTTGGATCCTGTTCTTCACACTATGGCCATGGAACTAAAATACAAATGCACACTCTATACCCCTGCCAAAACTCACACATTCACACACACAGACGCACACACATCTTAATATGTACAAACCCAGTCATTTTATACTGTCCATATTGTACCAATACAATATTCCCCGCCTGCTTGTGTGGAACACACACACACATACAGAGGCTGAACAAGCAACCTTATAAATTATAAATTAGTAACAATACACCTGTGGGAAAATCTGGAAATGTGGTCTGATTTTGCAGGAATGTGAAGTTTGACTTGTATGGTCATCTCAGACTTTCCTCTTTAAACAGGACTGTAACGGTTTAAAGTCTGCAAACTCCTGCTTATAACCGGTGTTTTATTCACGCAACAGCTCCAATGTTGTCCTTTGCAGCTTCATTAAATGGTAAACAGACAAAATGCTACAACAGAGTCTATTAAATAGTTTGTGATTTTCTGCCAATTGAAGATTTAGGAGTCTCATAATTTTTCCTGCGTAATAACAGTTAAATGTTTAGTGAGAAATATCACTTTGGAAAAGATAAGGCACGTAATATTTTCTTGTCTCTAATTCTGCACCTCAGTTCGGTGGGAAAGGAAGGAGGAAGTTTCTGGTTTTCTGAGACGTCATAAAGTCAATATGTCATTCCGAAATAAAAAATATTTCAACAATCAAAGATTCCTGTTATATTTAGATTCCTTCATGGTTGCTTAGAGAGAAAAGAGCCAGGAGCCTTACCTCTAATGTGGTCTACTGTGGCCTTTGGGCCACAAAGATAGTTCCCCTTTAAATTTCTCTTCGTGTTTTGACAGCACTTCAAGAAGTTTCCTTGCTCAGTTTATCCCTTTAAAGCTCCCTTCACCTCCACATTAGGTGGTGGCTGAGTAGAGTGGAGGATGCTGTACACGTGAAGCAAAAGGGTCCGTGTGATACATAGTCTGTGAGTTTAATGATAAACGCTTCAAAGTCATTTTTGGAAGTCCTATCCCCAGAAAAGAACATAATCACAGATGGTTTTTTAGCTTTTATCTCGTTCATCCATTTCTCTTTTTTTCTGGTTTCAGTGGACAAGGCTCCTGCAATATTTGTCTCCTCTCCACGCTGACTCCTGGATGACCTTCGAGTTGGTTCATGAGACATCACTGATGTTAGATCAGGGGTTGGGATCGGGAGGTCAGGGGTCATAAGGGCCATGTCGGAGAACTAGCGACTGAGGGGGAGCTGAGGCAGCGACATGGCCTGATGAGAGAGACTCTGAGAGGTCAGGACAGAGAAGGGATGACCTGGGGAGCAAATCATAAAAAACACACAAGATTAAAAAAAAGAAAAAAGAAAAGCAAAATGTGTCTTACAAAGTAACTCCCATAATTTAAAAAGTCAAAACAAATACTAAAAATGATGTGCCTATTTACACCACAGTAAATGATAACTCACTGTCAATGTACCCATGAAGGGCCACCATGCGCGCTCGCTCGGGACTGCCAAACGGAGAGTAATGCAGCTCATCGGGCAGAGATGAGGGTATCCTGGACTGAGGATGACCTTGAGGAGCCCCGCTGTGCTGGGGCGTGTGCTTTTTATGTCTTGCTCTGCAGTTTTGAAACCACACCTATGAAGATGCAATGTAACCAGACATCATGTGGCTATATTCTTAAAGTTTGTCTTTTCAGTGTACTGTAAGAATGTGTTCCATTAGTTTAGCATTTTAACATTTAATTATATTGACGTCATCCATTCGTGCTTTTTATACACACTGCTCACCTGTATGACTCTTCTGCTTAGGCCTGTCATGTCAGCTAGTTTCTGTAGCGTCTGGGCATCCGGATTGTTGTCCTGAGCAAATTGTGCCTGCATGATCTGCACAATGAGACAAAATATTAGGTACTGTGTCAGGGCTTTGGCACAGTAAATCAACGTTGTGTACTTCGGTGTTGCTGAGAGCGTTTCTCACCTGTAGCTGTTCTGCGGTGAACGATGTCCGTGCTCTTTTGGCCGGTTTGGGTTGACTGTCTTGTTCTGTTGGAACTGCTCCCTCTAATGTGATGCCATTGCCTACAAAAATACACACACACATGCAAGTCAGATAATAGTTCAGTGATAAATAAAGTGACTATAGATGTCAGGAGACATAGGTAGTCTACAGGACTTGAAAAATGTATCATATCAAAGGGACCTCAGGAGTTTTGATGCCCCAGCAGGGACCCAAATTTAAGAGCCATGGCCTACTTTTCCGCTCTTGCAGCATAACATGCTAATTCTGTAGGTATTACCGTTCTCAGAAAATTAACAGATATCAATCATTTGAAATAGTTATGACAAGGAATGATTCAATCAGGCAATAAATTTGCTGAAAAGCATAGCTTCAGATATATCTTGTCATTTACCCAACCACTCACCGCTCTCAGCTGCTCGTTTGAGGTTCTCCACCATGGTGTCATAGTGGATTCGGCACAAGACCTTCTCCTCCACCAAACCAAACTCTTCTCCCGTGGACAGCTGCCTCTTACACGAGTAGCAGGCAAAACATGCCAAGTGGTATGCGTTTCCCCTTGCACGCCGCACCCAGTCGCTGGCGTATATCTGCCGCCCGCAGCGGGCACACTTAGTACCAAACCTACTGTGAGGGGGATAAGAACAGAGCAGCAGAATGAGGAATTATGGGTAAAAAAAGGGAAAAAGATCAAATTGTTGCAGAACAGAAAATGAAACATACACAGTGACTTCCTTTTCTTTGAGAATATTTTCTTGAAGTGAAGTTTGACATGAATTTGTTTTTTAATTTCTGGCAAAGCTCAGAAGCTTTAAAGGAAACCTTGGAGGAGGAGGATATGGCTTTCAGAAAAGACTCCTGAGTGCGGCTGCAAGCTGAGCCTTGAATGCAAACAAACCAACACCTGCAATTTCCTGACTGATGCATGAAGCCCCTGACACATATATACACACACACAAAAACACACATAAGCCAGGTTGGCTTTAAACACAGTGGAATATGAAGAAAAACCCAGATGACATCATTCTAGATCGCCTCGCTGTAACTGATAGCAACAGCGAGGTTGGCGGTGAATAAACCCAAACCACCTGACTTGCTGTTATGGATGGGTGGTTGGTGGGAGAGAGAAAGAGGGTCAAAGATGTAAGGCTAGAAATGCTTCAAGACAATTCCTCATTAGCAAGAAATAAGATAGCTGAACATCTGCTTAGTTTAAATGTTTTAAATGAGGGGGATAAAACGGGACACGGGGGTCAAAGAAGAAATAAAGGCTGCTGTAGATTTATAACTAATCCCACAAAAAGGCCTTCCTATCCCGTATGTCGGTGGCCATTCTTCTAAAAAGAAAAAATGTAAATCCCAAATATTAAAAAAGTTTTTTCAAATGTAATAGTACATTAGTAATATGTGTGTAGAAATTAGTCAAATTGAGCTGCAGCACTTGTGCTTTATGAAATAAGATATATCAGACATAGGCAATACAGATGGAAAAATGTCGAATATCTCATATCCCTTCACGAGATTGTGTTTACTGTGCAGCTGGGTCCGTGGAGTATCCAAATAAATCTCCATTTTATTGCAACAGAAATATTATAGATGCTCCCTGTTTTGCACAAGAATAAAAAGATATTAAGCGCCTCATTTGAAGGACCCATTATGGGTTTTAATGGGTATCAAACGCTTTAGGTTGGAGATGGTTATGGTTATGTTAAGAGCCATTGTTGGGGTCGGCAGCTGCCAATTCTGCTGGAGGAGGCCAGATTTGTAAGCAGCCTGAAAGAAAGTGCTTCTTCAAGGGTAAAACTGGCGTGGAAGGGGGTGGGGGTAAACATGCGCAGTGTGCTGCACTGTACAGCCGGATTTGTATACATTCATCAGCCGTGCTCACCCCGATATTTCGCTCGCTGCTCCATACACAGCCACAAACATGAGCCATATTTAGAGTCAGAGGTCAGTGGAGCTGGCGGAGGGCAGGGAGCCGGAAAAGAACAGTCATGGAGAGAGAGAGAGAGAGAGAGAGAGAGGACGTAAGTGACTGAGACAGGGAGTCGTAGGGCTGGGGGGAAATGGCAAAGTGGAGAGCGTAAGCGGCGGAGAGAGTGAGCAAAGAGAGCTGGGGGTGCAGAGGAGCACAAGGGCTGCCAAGTGAGTGGGTTTGGCAGCGTATGCGTGCACTCAAGTCCACTCTATCTAGGATGAAAGCATACTAAGGCCCTGACATCTCACAAGCTTGTAACCCTCCTTATGTGCAGGAGCTTGTTTGCCAGAAGTCACTTTTATGCATGTAGTGTGGTGCAGACTATTTATGGGGCATCATTAGGCGACTACTGTTTGAGGGTCAGCCTAGTTTTTATCATCACAGGTCAACAAATTATGTAGATATCACAACAAATGCAAAAAATGGTATTCATCAAGGGGGAAAAGCAGTGCAACTGTAACAGCGAGTCCTTGTGATGACCTTCAAGGAAAATTGGCTGGCATGGCACCCACTAAGGCCTTAAGTTGTCTCTGATATGTTCAGATTTAACCAAACAACCTCTTATGTGCCATTAAAGCCGCTCCGGGAGACAAATGGAGTGCACGGCTCACTGTACGATATCCTTTCAGACTCTTACAGAGAAGTCGGGCCTGTTTCTACAGTAAAGAGGAAAACATTGTGGAACGTTGCAGCTAATGCAGCATGACAGCTTGTCAGTTTCATGGTCTGAGACAGAACCCAGAAAAAGCTGCAAACCATCCCTTGTTTTAACCCCCTCCTCCTCTTCTGTCTTTCTCCCCTTCCTCTTACTTCTGCACCCATACTTTTTCTGTATCTTATTTTCCATTTGCACCAAAAAACTGATGTTTATTTTGGATCCGTGTCAATCCTCGCAGCCCTTATATCACTCACCGCAAAACTTCCTTTCCTCCTCAGACTTCTCCTATTTGCTCCCCTTATTCTGTCTAATTTTTACTCTTTTTTTTATACAGTAATTCACCTGCTGCTGAAAGAGGGGCCTGAGGAGGTACACGTTTTTTGGATTATTTATGATGTGCTCTGAGAACATGCTAATCTCTATTAGATTTGTCCTGAGAGAGGCTGTGCGGTTTGTGTGCGAAAGGTTCACATTAGGCTGACAGGATTCTGAGCTGAGAAAAAGAGGGGGAAATGTTTCATATGCTTTACGTCTTTTAACAGGTTTTAATAGATCAGAGTTTTATGGATAAACCCTGCAGAAAATACAAGTCCTTGACACTCTCATCCGCTGCTCTTTTAGCCTGTAGTAACTAGGAATACGGGCAGTTTTCTTTGGAACAGCCAATCTGATTTTCGGCATGAATAATGTAGTGCAGCGCTTTAACTGAGCAGCGTAACACTGTGTGTCACAGATGTCTTATTATAATTTTAATTCATTCGCTTCTTGATAAAAATCTCTGTAGCTGCTGCTCTCCTTTGTTGCTATGGAGACCTAATCAGCTAACCAGAGGTGGGTGGTTGATGAATAATTATTATTGCAAAAAAATTTAAAAATTCAAGCGCACACACACACACGCATAAAGAGACATGCACACATCCACATGTGCTCTCATCTCACCCACGAAGTTCATTACATACGTGGACTCTGGTTACAGTGTCAGTGTCATGGGGTGCCCCTGATTAGGGCAACTTCCTGTGTGGCCTGCAGCTCACGGACGCGGATGGGGTTTCTATGGGGCAAGGCGAGGGAGGGCTGCAAGGAGGCGAGGGGGGAAAGGGGAGGAGGCTGATATAGAAATGGTTTGCGTATGTGTGTGTGGTTAAGAGAGAGAGAGAGAGAGAGAGAGAAAGCAAGCCCCCAAGGCCTGACATGGGTTTGAGAGGCACAGCGGGGGCTCTGTCCTGCACCCCTATAACGCTGACATCGCCCCCACCCAACCTCTGCATACACATACACACGTATATGGAGGGAAACCCACTCTGATTTCCTGCTATTACGCCCCATTAAAGCAGCTGTCAGTCCAAAGCCAGATGAGAGGCTGACACAGATGAGGAAATATCTCCAGAGGTTTGAAAGCAGCCCAAAGGATCTGGACTTGCAGCGGTGTTTAGCCTAGTTTAAATCTGGCCTAAACCCAGATTACAGTTTATATTTACAGAAGTAACCATTGCACAGGTCCCAGCCCTGCAGCAAAGCTTCAATGCAGCATTTTTTAAAATAGCATCACATTCTCAGAGTGACTTATAAGGACATCGAATCCAAAAGTACTGATGTTATTGTGCAAAAGAGGGGTTTCGTCCACATATTGTAACCATACTAACTATTGCAGTAGTTTTTAATCTGCGTATCTGCATTATGAACTCTTTTATGACTGTGCTTGTCATCCCTGTCTTTAGAGTCATAGTTCTGTACAGCAGATAGATGACAAATGTGAGGTAAACTGTGGAGCAGTTTAGGTCCTTTGACCAGTTTTTAAACTTCTAAATTTAGGAAATTAGTTGCTTAGCATTTTGTGAAAATAACTATAAGTTTTTCTTATAAAACATCTGTCCAGAAAAACCCTTTTCATTCACACCCTTTATTAAAAAACGTTTTAAACAAAATTAGGAAAAATAACAAGAGTAATAATACGTTTTATTTTAGGGGGAAATGTGTCAGTTTATGTGACAGTTTAATTTAGACCCCCAGTTTCTATGAATTAAATATTTTCTTAGCTTTCTGTGCGTTTAAATAATTAATTAACAACCATATAGGTTTAAAAATGCCACTTAACTACATCTATGACCAAATTAACCAGAAAGAGGCCCTAAGTGACCGTCATTATACACAACAAACGCATTTCATTTTTACCCAGGATGCAGAAATCAACCACTACAGAGCAAAGAAAATTAAATTAGCACAATAATGACAAATGGCTTTTAATATCTGGGGCTAAAATACTGCAGTAATTCTAAAAAGAGATTAGATTAGATTATTGAGGTCTTTTGCGTCTGATTATGTACATTTGTTGCCACTTTCAGGCCTTTAAAACGCTAAAGAGTAAGTGACTAAATATTTGTCAGATGCCTTGATGATTAAAAGAAATAATAATTGCTGCAGTGTTGCACTTCTCCTATAATGGGATGACGCCACATTGCCGAGGTTTTCTCTGTTTTAATTCGTTGGCGCACAGAGGAGAAAGAGAAGCAATCTGATGAAAGACAACTCTACCAACAAATGACAATATATCTTAAAACAATCAAGGGCTTAAAACTCTTTGACTGTAAGAGAGCTTAAACTGTTTTATTCATTACCATCTTTGGAGATCTGATACTATGACGTATTTAAGCGTCCACATTTAAAAAGCATTTCTGAGTCTCTCAGTGATCAGTGAGCAGTGTGGAGGTAAATTCTAAGGGAGCATTTAACCAGAGCTGGGCTGGTAAAATATTATGGTGCGGCAGAGCAAACACAAAAGTCTCCATTTTCAGGAAAATATGAGCAAAATGACTGGCAGCTGCTAGACATGCATAAATAAACAGAGATCTGTGTGTGTTGGTGACCAGTGTGTGCGTGTGAGTAGGTGGATTATGTGTGCAGGTGTTTGCAATGGGCATTTCTGCTAATGCCCATTTCAAAGTTTCATATTTGTGTTTTTATGTTTCTTATTACATGTTTGTCTGTGTGCAGGTATCTGTCTCAGGGTGTGTTTTCAGTTTGGACATAAGCCACATTCACACGAGTTACATGCTGACCAGGCACTCGGGGAAGTCTAATTGCTGGTCTGGAGGCTTGAGGGTCTGGGGTGGGGGGAACAACTAATTGCTGGTGATTATAAACCTCAGAGCAGTGACTTGGTGTCAGATTTTGATCAGACAAACACTAACGCTCACTTGCAGCTCCATGCACTCACTCCACACACACACACACACACACACACACACACACACACACACACAAAGCGTTAAGCACAAATTGGCACACGTGTCCATACGATTAATACACCAGCTCCAGGCTACTGAACAGAAATTTACCATACTGATGCTGCTGTGGCTGTGAACCCCATTTAACCCTATACTACCACACACACACAGGCCTGCACACATTTTTATATTTTCCTCTTGGCACTCACAAAAACACACAAAAAGGGAATAGAAAACTGAGTCAACACATCAGACAGGCTTTCTTAGTCCAGCTTGTATTGTAATAAAATTGTACAAAATTTGCCTACGCATTCATGGCATGTTGTATACAGACGGTATACAATTTTATTTTGTATTATTTTAGATATATTATCAGAGATATTTAATTTTTAAGGTTTACTAAACAATCATCATTGGGGTTTTTATTATTATTGCTATTAGGCTTGATTCTCTAATTGAAATTGTATTTGTTTTTTAAAAATGAGACATATCCTTTTGTTATAGAATAGATAGGCATTTCCTTTTTTGCACTTAAGCTCTGTTTGTCTTTAGGGACCGACTAAATCCGGACAGCTCAAACTGGCATTTCCGCCAATTTCCGTTTACATCACGTGTCCCTGTCAGGGTGTTAAAACAGTTATCCGCGCGCATCGTGGCACGTGGTGTGTTAATTTTGTACCTCATTCAAGACTGAGTCATGAGAAAATGATTTCACCAGCTTTTAGGCACTAAATGCTGGAGAAAGGATCCAATGATCGGGCAGTTGCAAAACACAAAAACACGCCCAGCCAGTCTGGCACGGTGCACTGGAAATGCATAAATAAGCGAAAAGAAACTAAAGTGTGCTAACTTTAATTTGCCTTTTAAGATCTGATATGATCAAAGCGGTAAAGAGAAGCTGGTCATAACAAGGTCAAAAGCGTTTTTCTTTAAATAGCGTAAAACTACACAGCCCACAACTTTTTAAACACTTTAGGGAAATTTTCCCAGAGTGCAGCACTCCAGTGTTTTTCCTTTTATAGGCCTAGCTGCTGAAAATGTCGCGTTTTTTGGATAGCCATAACAAAACTGTGAATCTTTCAGCCCTTCGCTGTAGGCAAAAGCTTTTATTTTGTTACACACTTTCAGTTTTTGAAAAGGCTTTTCAAGAATATATGAGGCAACCCACATGCATACGTTTCAAAGGATAAGCGTGCGTGAGTGCACGTGTGTGCGACAAGAGAGAGAGAGGGGGAGAGAGAGAGCTGTGCTGGCAGAGGGGCGGACGTGGTATTTTGAAAACACGGCCATAAACTTACCCTACCTGAAATAATCCATTTTACAGAAGATCTCTTTGTTTTTGATGTAGCAGCTGCTGTGCTGACGTAGTGACGTCCTGCACACTGAGCACTCCAGACAGCGCACGTGCCAAATCAGGTTGTTCACCTGCAAAGAGACACCAAGCGTGTCAAACACACACAAACTGATGATATAAGGCCGCATTAAGGACTTAGGGTGTCTGCTGTGGTGAGTAATGACTCTGTCACACTGTGGAACACTGACGTGATGCAGCAGCATGCGTTATGAACGCGCCTGCGCAAATCCGATCGATCGTGAGCTTATTTTGAATGTTTATGAGAGCTATAAATAAATTTTTTTAAACAATTTTTAAAAATGTATTTTACTCATTATTGTAAATGAATAAATAAAATACAAAAAACTCTAAATAATAAAAATACCTCACAATTTTAAGCCATTTATAAATATTATGCTGAAACTATAAGGCGCGCATCTTATCACAGATGTTTCTGTATTTTAGCAATATGCTTTTTGGGAGGGTGTTTTTTTTTTTGCTTGTTTGTTTTGTCCTAAAACATATTTTATTGGCAATTACGATATTATACGAAATATTAAGGCATCAACCGATATTTTCTGTGACTGGATTTTTTTTCTTCGTTAAACAGCACTATAATCGTTTAGGAAAACAATAATTTAAAAAATGTTTTAAAAACTTTTTTTTAAAAATTATACTTTTGCAAGCTTACAGGCAGCAAAGCCATCCGGCTTGTCTATTTATTCATATGAGAGTTAAAGGAGGCTGCCAAAAACACTTGCCCTAACGTTAGATTTATATTTATAACCTTAAATGATTATTAGTACTTATTATTATTATTTGGCCTAATAGATATATTTTTCGTTGATGAATTTGAGTTTTTTAAATTATTATTTTGAATACGGTGTTAAATGATCAGTCCCGACATTTAAAATCATGGGAAATATGTATTACTTTTTTTTAAATGGCTAAATAAAGAAGACAAACAATTGTTGCACACAAAAGATTTTAATTGTTTAGGTTTTGAGATCGTATAAATTAAACCTATCCAGAGAATTTACAACATGTATAGACAAAACGTCTTCTATAGATAATTGCAGATAAACTAATAGTTCTGGACATGAAAAATACAATAAAATAAAATAAAAATTTCAGCGTGACTAATTTATTATAATAGCATAAACGTTTAATTTAAGACCAGACATTAAATATTTAAATAAAAGAATCTCATTTGTCTTATCTGTCCCGCGGATGGAGAACAAAGTAGGCAGATAACGAACTAATGATCTTCACACTTCCTGACACACACACAGGGCCGCGCGCGCACTAGTGAAGATTGTTTGGGGTTGGAAAGCGCACGCGACAAAAGCAGGGCGTCCTGGCTGTGAAACAGCAAAAGAACCAAAACATCCCTGTTGTGACTGTCTGCGGTCTCCCAAACACAGAGCGCCGTTTAATCTCCGTTTCCTGAAATGTTACGGTGGCGATAACATAGCTGAGATTTAGAAACAAATCGCCTCTTGTGTCTTTTCCTGTTTTCCGAGTTGGCTAGATAATAAAAGTTTTAAGTAAGTCAGGCATGTAGCTGCTTTCAAATATCATTGCAACCTTTTTTTCTTTTTCTTCTGTTTTCAGTTTGAAGTTGTATTTATTTATTTTTGCTTTCAATCTCCAAATTGCGTTAAATTCCGTGCAAACTTACGGCGGGCCCCCAAATCCAAAAATAAGGGCAGAGTCAGCACAGCATCCTTCTTCATTAGCTCCCGATTGCCTTGTGCAGACGAACTATTTCTGTCTGTTAATGTAAAAAGGAAAACAAAAAGTCTAAAAGTATGGCCGGCCTCTCACCTTCAGCAAGTATCTGTCCAGGATCTCCAGACCACAGCTGGCGCACAGGTTCTTCCCGGTGGACGGCACCGAGCTGGTGGAGGAGGTCGGCGAGCACACGGAGGGGGTGGACGGAGTGCTGGGGGAAGAGCGGGTGTCCTCCCGCTCCATGTTGGACCGCTGGGATTCTCCGTCCGAGTGAGACTGCAAGAGGGCATCAGCAGAGCTCAGCACTGACACACACACACACACACCGATCATCCTCATCAGCGCGTTGACAGTTTTCAGGTGTCGCCATTTTTTTTTACTATGCGTTTGCACTGCAGTGCGCGCATAATTCACAAATTTTCGCCAGCGCGAATGCGCGTGGGCCAAACGGTCATCCGCTGCACGCTATCGGCGCACTGAAAGAGCCTTTTTTAAACATATATGTTTTAAAGCACAAACGGGCAATAAAACTCTCACCATTGGCGTGTGCTTAGAGTCCACACTGCAGCGCGAGGCTCCCGGTGTGCTCTGGTGCTCGGTGGAGATCACCTACAAGAAAACGATCAGTGAGTGGCGGGTCATCACTTTCTCCGTCTCATCATCAGCTGAGCCGAGCAATCCTCGGGATACATTTGCGGACAGCTCTCCGAGGCTACTCCTATTTAAAGTAGTCCTGACAATAAACCCCCGGTCAAACCTGTTTAAAAGCCCCCTGCAACAAAAGGCAATGTTTTAATGAAGCTATCTCAAATTGGATTGATTTTGTTCCCCCTGCCCTTAACCCATGCCTCTCAGAATAATAGTATTTTCTTCGCAATCCAGGACACGAGACTGGAGGATGGGGAGTGGAGTGGTGTGTGTGTGTGTGTGTGTGTGTGTGTGTGTGTGTGTGTGTGTGTGTGTGTGTGTGTGTGTGTGTGTGTGTGTGTTTTCGGTGGGGGGGACTACCTGTAATTACAAATAGCTTGAAACGCTGGGGGGATAAGAGGGACACGGAGTGTCAATTTCAACTGTCAATCAGGGTGGAAAAAAGGCAACGGTCACCCAAAGAATTGCAAATTTGATTTTTAATGGCTGTAATTAAAATCTAATTCTCTTCACGCGAGTTGGCAGCGCTCGAGAGGCTCACGGACAGCAAATCACGCCTCACGGACAGCAAATCACGCCATTCATACGCAGAAGAAGCGCGTGCAGCTGATCTCCACATACACACAAGAAACATGATTCTTGTGAGATCGCGGAGAGACAAAAAAATAAAAATCCCCGCACGATCCCCTCCCCGGGGGGCTGCCAAAGAAACTGCGCGCTTCTGCCGTCCGTGCCGTTCAGTGAGAGAAGAAACTGGCATGTTGAAAATATCCCACAGTAAAGCTAGAGCCTAGTATAGCATCCGCACTGCACATATGACTAGCTGCAAGTAGAGTCATTTTAAACCTTTTTTTTTTAAAAAGGCCCAAACATTGCGTGTCAGTACCTGCTTTGTTGGGATTCCTTCGGACAGAATTTTATTTCCCTCTGAAAGAGGGGACAACACTTCATTTTTCCAGTACATGAACCCCTGGCGTCTCAGAGTTTCCAGAGTCTGGGATCAGGAGAATAGTCGGCGATGGGCGTGAAAAAACAAAAGAAAAAGAAAACAAAAAAGTAAAAAATGGGGAAAAACAGTTATATCCGTACCATGAATGAACTGTGGCGCGCACTTTTGTTTTACAGAAAAGTGTCTCTTTAAAGCACGAACACGGTCTGTCACGGCAGTGATGCAGCCACGCAGCGCCGGAGAGTTTTGCTTGCTGCTCTTCACAACAGATTTCTTACGTTTGCCCTTGTCTCTCTCTCTCTCTGTCTTCTTCTTCTCTCTTTCCCTTTTCTGATCGGGGGTCCGACCACAGGAAGTGAATCAAATCGAGGCGCCTCGTAAAAACTCCCCCCAAAAAGAAAAGCTTTTGAGGTTCAGCAGAGACCTGAGGGGCTGCACAGGCGAGCGGAGAACCTGAGTGTCTCTGCAGAGCTGCAGTGAAAGTTGTGCGAGACTCTGGCCTGCCTTATAGTTAAAGAAGGGGGAGGGCGAGTAAAGAGTTTCATGTGTGTGAGAAGGCTGGACGCGCAGTTCGGAACAGTTCTGATTCCTCAAAGCTCTGCTGGTGGATGTTTGATATCTTAGACACTTATAGCAGCAGAGGGAAAAAAAATAAAATTATACTTGTTTATATGATTGTCATTTATTTGCTACTGGAAATATACAGCTGGCGTTGACCGCGGACAACAATGCGGCAATTAACGCACAAGTTTGCGCTCGAAAACCAAAGTTTTTGTTATATACACGCTGATTGTTGTGTATATGCGGATAAAACCATATGTATGTTCTTATTACTCATTTATATATATATATAAAAGAAAAAATAGTCATTATTAAAGAGAAGACAATTTTGAGACTGAAATTAATTTAACTCCATGATTCAAAATATAATTCCGTTAATATTTTGGATAATTTTATGCCAGTTGTCGCTATGCTTGCAGTTATTTAAAGAACATAAATATTGCGATTCAAGGCATCATGTATTTATAAAATAAAACTGGTTGAAGTTAAAATTCATTAAAAAATAAGAATAAATTCGATGTTTAAGTAATAAGTTAAAAGATGTATATTAGTAGGGCAAATATTCACGATTTACAGATCTTTCAAACACAGCTGGCGCTACGTTTAAATCCACAGATTAATGTGTTTGTTTGTTTTTAATGTAAATCCTTAATACAATTATGCAAAAGTATAAAGACATATACATAAATACATAAACTATAGGAGCTGATGTAACTGAATCTAAACGCTGACAGAAACTCAGGGAGCCATTAAACAAAAGGCTGAGCTTTATAATTACAGGATATGTTTGAGCCTACAATAGTTTAGATCGATATGTCAATCATCCCGCTTTCCACAGCGGATCCATGATTATCTGTAAATCTACACTTCAGGAATTATTCCATCAAAAATGATCCAAGCGTTTAAAAAAAGAAGAAAAAAATACACCCGAATGTGTATCCATGAACTAAAAAGGATATATTTATCCAGTGGGCCCTTTATTGAAAACAGATAATTACAGGCAAGGAAAATAAAATAAATAAATAAAATAAAACAAAAATAGAATTTAAAAAAAATGCTGTAATGGATTTCACAAATGTTCTGCAGCCGCATGAATGATTTTACAGCAACAAACAAATCCCACGAAGAGCTGAGTGATGTCAAGAGGTAGGATTTGGTCCATCGGTCTGCACGAAATTGTGCTCTTCCGTCTTCTCCAACAATTAGCCCGCTGCGAGCTGTAGACCAACAGTTCCTACTTGGTAACCTCACAAAAACAGAAAAGGCCATTTGGCCAGCAAATTCAATCATCTGCCAATTAAATCCAGTTTACAGTCTCATCGGGATTTCGTCTCTTTTTTTTCTTTTTCTTTTTTAAAAAAAATCATAAGAGCCTCAAACTTCAATAAAGAAAAAAATGCCCAATATGACAGCAAATGAAAAAAAAAAAATGCAGTTTATAATAAGGAAAATGTGTCCACATTAATCAGTCTTACAAAAAGGCCTACAAAGTATTGGAAGTATTTACAGGAACTGCACAAAAATAGTAAACTACTTAATATTCATCATACCAGAGTGGGAAAAGTGAGCCTCAAAAGGCTACAATAGCTAAGACTATATGATTATTGTGGATAATGTTGTTACATAGATGCTCTTTCTGGTAATAAATAAATGATTTGATCCATGATGGCTGATTTTCCACAAACAAAAACCCCCAAAACGAAAGGGTTACATGTGGTGAGGAGAGGGAGCTTTTGGGCAATGGAAACAAAATATTTTAATGGCAACAAAGAACACCATCAACATGAAAAACACAGGAGCGAAGTGATTATTTACCTTTAATGGAGAATTTTAAATAACAAGAATGCGACCAGGGATGGATCTAAATGCTACGCAAAAGTCATTAAAAACAGTCGTATAAAATTAGATCCAAGAAAAAACAAAAAACAAAAAAAAGAACAAAGGGGGGAGAAATCAAGCGCGCCCACACACACACACACTAAAACTCGCAGTGAGAGTCGCTAAGCGGCTTGTGGCTTATTATTTTTACACTCCATTAATAGTAACCAATTAGGACAAACCGAAGCCCAACCCGCCCTCCAAAAGAAACATATTCCTTAATTAAATAATGTGATCTGGAAGTTAGAAGATGTGTTCAAAACAAAACGAGAAGCAGCGTTTACACCGCTTAACACTTTCAACTGTGTTCAATCGCTGCAAATCGTGATGAGGCAGGCCGACGAGAGGCCCGACCTGCACGTCAGCCAGGTTTGGGTCACATGTCCGGCTAAATAATGACCGATGATTCTGAGACCTGAAATAATTTTTAAAAAAAAACCCCAAAACCCATTTTGGGTGCCGTCCATGATGGCTGTGGTTACTCCTTAACAGTCAGGGTTCACCTTCGAGAGCTTTTATTTTCCCCACATCAGACAGTCGAAAGTACTGAATGTGGAAACTGTTTGTGTGGAGGTGGGGGCTGAGGTGTAGACGCTGGCTTTGGGTTTAGAGAGGAAGGGGTGGGTGGCTGGGGATAGAATAAGTGGGAGGATGGGTCATCTCCTGAACTTGCGGGGCCTGCTCTGGTTGCTGTGGTGTGATTTAGAGTAGGGCTCCCAGCGTTTCCTCTCTGGCGGCTTGTTGTAAACGTAGGCAGACGGGCCTGAGTAGCTATCGTCTGGATTCTCCTCCATCATCTGGAGCTTGGCTTCGATGGCGCGGATCTTAGCACTCGTGCTGGAGGAAGAAGGAAAAAATGAGAGGAGGTGTTAGTAGCGAGGCTGGGGGGGAAATACTAGTGTTGATACTGAGTGTGAGGGACAAATAGGACTGATGTACAGACTCTGGGGGACAGAAAGAGGAGGTAATAGCAGTCTTAGTGAGAGGGGGGTGGACAGGTTTAAAATAAAATACAGAAGAATGAACAGTGAAACAGAGGACTACTTTTATTTAAATGGTGAAACAGAATTTGGAGAAGCAGAGGAGATAAGATTGTGGGGAAAAAATTGCAGTGCTTGTGGGGAGGCGGTGGGGAAATGAGGGAATGAGTATGCGCGAGAAGTAGCAAAAAAAAAAAAAAAAAAAAACTGGAGAGGAAAACAATAGAGGGGCCATCAGGGAAAAAAAGAGAGCTATAGTGTATATTTCCTCTCTTGTGCTGTGTGGATAGAGTGACTTTGAGGTTTGCAGCAGATAGATGAGAGGTTCCTGCACAACAACACGAAATTACTTTTTTTTCAACCACGACATATTTACACAAAATTAGCAGCTTCCACATTTAAAGGGTAAAAAACACTCTGCTCAGTGAGTCTGCTCACTCCGGGGAACCTAATTTGGCATTTGACCGTTTTTACACTCCATTTGTCTTATTTTAAATAGGCTGCAAATGCATTATTAATCCCCCTAAAACTGTTGTTTATGTTAAGGAAAAGATCATTGATCAGCGCACTGCTTTACCTCACAATGGTAAGGTGAATCCACCGTGAGGCCAATTGCTGAGTGTCTTCTCTTTAACATCCCATCAAAATAAAGGGTAAAAAGGCCCCAAAATAGTAAAGGAAAATATCATAGTTCAGGTTAAAGTCCAAGAGTTGCCTTTTTTTGGTTGCCAGTGGGATGTATACTCACTGAGTAGCCTGCATAAAATTCATGCTGTGTATTTCACGTTTTGCTGTGACTCTAGGCTGGATTACCTCAGTAGGAGGCGAAAACGCCACAGAGTGACTTAACAGCACTTTATTTATTTAATTGGTTGACCTGCAAGTGTGTATATGGGAATAAGGGCTGCAAATGTGGCTGCTATAATGGCATACTTTGGAGTCGGACAGAATTTCAACACTTCCATTGATGTCTTTGGAGCCAATGTGGTCTTTCAATAATTTCAGCACCACAGTTGAGTACCGTGAAGAATGTTTTATAGCAGAGGTGTCAGACATGCATCCTGGCAAAGGGTCAAATCCAGTCCTGCTGGACAGCTTTACAAAGTATCAGAATGGCTGAGGAGCTAATAATAACTCATTTTCTTTAACAAATTGCACTGCTCTTGCTGGAGAGGTGGAGCTGTGAGGATAGCTAAACTTTTTCTAAATCATAAATGATTATTTCAATCATAAATGAGTAAAATACTATTGTTTAGTTTCAAGCGTGTGCGTTTTGCGTGTTTTTTTTTATAAGATCCACTTTGATCTGTAAAATTGTAATGCAAGGAAAAACTGAGGAACATTGTTGAAATAGCTCTTTTTTTCTTCTTAAGACATCTCAGACTGTTTTTAAAATGGATGTTTCATTAAATGTGAATGTTTTCAGAAGGTACTTGGACTACACTAAAAGAAAGAGAACAGCTCTTGAGATAACATTAGGCCCGTATGCGGTCCAAAATATGTCTGAAACTTCTGTTTTTCATGTATTTGTGCTGGCTTGGTTAATTAAGGTTTAATTACAGTATGTCAGAAGATAGACGTGATCGTGGATGTAACAAAAGGTCACACTCACAGAGTGGGTGAAATGCTTCATGGGTTTCTCCAGCCCTCCCCCCAAAGTTGGATGAGTGGAAAAGAATGAATGGAAAAAAATAAACAAGTGTTTTCTACTGATTGCATTTACTTTTTTTAAATTTTTTCCCCCCATTCAGTGACCCCCTGCAAGTAGTTATAACAACCAACTGGTCACCCAGAGCTTAAGCATTCAACACCCTAACCTATGAGTGCCCACTTTCAATCAATGCATAGGTCACCGAGTGGAAGGCAACCTGCCTCCAAACAATTGCAGTCTGACTCGGACTGAGTGCAGTCACTCTCAGACAGATCGGAGAAGGCTTGCAAATAACTGCTGTTTAATTTATAACGTTGCCATCACACTGGTGTCAGTTGCAACTCGTCTGCAATTGGTCTCTTTGCAGTTGGGGACATGACTC